TCATACATTATGGTTTACAATTCAACATGGGAAACCTAGCGCCTGCGAGACAGATGTCAGCGGTGAAGAAGAAAACCTTGTACCCGTCCCWCCGAACCTCGCACAAGAAACGATGCTTGTTTGCAAGACATTCATACYGTTTCTGAGGTTTGTTAGAGTTGATTTGACTTTGTCTGACATTACATTCACGTCACGTTTCTTTTAGTAAAAGATACAAACCGTTTGAAGGATAAGTGCCACTAAACTGAGTTTTACACAGCTGTATTTTACACAGCTGTTAGTATTTACGTATTGTTCTAACCAAAAATCTTTGATTTTTCTTTAGCTGTGAGTTCACTCTTGAAGATGTTACTTTGCTCTTTGAACTTCTGAGCTCGGTTCTAAACTACCTTGGCAAACAGTTATCACAGGGTTCCCAACTTACTTCCGAAGAACTGCTAAGTTTGATAACGCAATGGTCCAGCGTATTCCAAGAAGGGCAAGCTTTGACATCGTTAAAGGACGAAGTTGGATTAAACTTAGTTCAAAAGGAGTCATTCTCTAGGAATTGCATTAGTGGAGAGATGGCTGATTGTAAAATGAAAACACTTCATCAACTGATAGACATAATCARCCAATCAGAGACCGTTCTGAACAATACCGAGGATTCATCTCTTCTCATCTTCATACTTGCTAGTAATTTTGCACTCGATTTTAGTCCTTCAAAAGATGACGTCACCTCTTTACGTCATTGCCAAGTGGTCACGTGGTTCAGACGATGTTTAGTCACCAGTACCTCTCTTCTAAAGGTTGTTATGAGTCCAAAGGGTGAACATGCTATTCGTCGGTTTTTGAATCTGTATGGTTGTATGGACGTTACATTGYTACAGGAGCTGAACAAGCTGTTTTTGGTATTGCTGTCACATGTACAGCACGTGGATCATGACGTGTTGGGGTCTTCAGCCAATGAGGTGGCTAGACTTCTATCWGAGGATGTGTACAGTGAAATTATGTCGTCTGGTTTTAAGGAAGTCATAAAACCCCTCGTCCCCTCCATTAACGACGTTACGGCCAATGCTAGTGGCAACGTTGAAGGTAGGTGGTGTCAATTTATGTTATTTTATAAGACAGAAGTTCAAAAAGCCTTTTCAGTTACCAATCTTATCTAGCAATTTTTTTTTCAGTTTCCATAACAGAGCTGATAYCTGTATTCCAACAAGATTTGTGGTTTGGTCAAGKAGTACCATCACGTTTCCTGGAAACTCTAGTTAAAAGCCGTAGTGACATAGCTATGAAGTTTTCAACTTRATTCCGCAATGGATCACAAACGTTACAACAACTCTTGCAGGTCTGACTAATGGAGAAAGCCCCTGAAACTCACDCTGGCAACTTACTGGAAGCATAGTGCCGTCTTTCGCTTTCTTAACGAATAATAAAGGAATCATTCATGGAGAATTAACGAAGGACAAATGAACGTTAACGTCAACGAAAGATAAACGAAGTATGGACGCAGCATTAACGAAGAGATAACGAAGAATAAACGAATCATTTACGGGAGGTTAACGAAGAACAAACGAACGTCAACGAAGGATAAGCGAAGTATTGACGCATCATTAACGAAGGATAAGCGAAGTATGGACGCATCGTTAACGAAGATGAGGAAGGAAGTTAATCAAAGGAGAGTTTACAAAGCGCAGAGAGTTAACGTCGTTTAAGGAGAAAACCCATAAAAACTTCAGGAAACGTGCGCGTTTGAACACGAGTCGTATTACACATGTATTACATGCACGTTGGTATCGTAAAATGTTTTTAAAAGAAGCAGCTCATTCTACAGTAGAAGCGTATGAGAGTCCGACAGTCTCATTGCCATCAAATTACGGAAGTATTGCTGTGTTTAATGATTCCATTGATGTAACGCAGGCGTTACAGAGAGTGAGAAAAGCGACAGCTACATGTACGGCAGTAACTATGAAAACAAACGAAGAACCAACAAAGAATCTTGTCAGTAAAAAAAACTAAATAAAAATACATTGAAAATATACAGTTTATTCAGTTTCTTTGTGTTTTTTTTTTTATCACAATAGAATTTTAGAAATCCAACGATTCCTTTGATTTTCCGCTGCAGCCCCCATCACCACAACCACTACCACCACAACTGCTCTTTGCTTGTCGCTAGAAAATAAGAATAAATGGATGAAACAAATGGAAGATAATTAGGAGAAGAGAATAGAATCAGTAATTTACCTGGACTTTGTCTGTTTTACCAATTCCAAGCCTAAGACAGAAATACCGTTAACCTAAATGAGACCCTTATCAAACCTCCAACCCTAACCAGACCCTAATCTAGTACTGCATCAGTTAAAGGCCTAGCAGTGACAACCTTTAAGACATTGTTAGACTGTTACCTTGGCAATCCTTTATTTAACCCCTCCAGCAAGACACATGCTTTGCATAAATGTTGACTTGAAATATAACCACATCGACTGCAAGTCCCTAAACCGTATGAAAGCATCAAGTTAAAGTGGCTGGATGCAATATATATTTAAGGTGGCCCTGCTATAAATTTGGTGATTACATGCTTATGTGGTTAAGAATAACATTTTGAATCGTTTGTACCTTGAACAGGCATTTTGACATCTTTCTTTACTGATAAACTTTCCCCAGAATGGATGATATCTTGTTGAAACAAAATAGAAAATTAGTAATCT